GTCTATTTGTACGCCAGGGATAAATACTACCCAAGGCCCCATAGATTAATTGGCTTCCTCACTGACACCCACATTCAGGAGATCTAGGTCAGTCCCATGCTTTCCACAAAGCCATCAATCTGGGGTTCAAGAGCTCCCTCTTGTTCAGGTCAACTCTTTCCGTGGGTTAAACCAGCTCAGTTTTAACTCCTTTGTTCATCAGTTCTCCCTTTCTGTGACTGGATTCCAGGAGTTCAGTTCAGTGTTTAGCTGTGGGTGTCTGCCTCTACTTCCATCAGTCGCTGGATGAAGGTTCTGTTTCCCAGACTCTCTGGAAGGTGGGATTGTAAGATGGCACTCCCCTGATTCATGTCTAAAATCCATATATGAGTGACTACATACCATGTTTCTCTAATATGTGCTCTTTGTGACCCTGGTGTCCCAACTCCCAACCCCAATCTACTTCAGTAGTTGGTGGATAGATCCTTCTGCTCACTCAGGTTGTGGTTTTCTCATGTCCTAGTTTAATGATTGCATCCTGGAGATCTTTTCTGTCTTGGTGGGATGTGTTAAAGACTGGTTGAGTCCTTCAAGTGTCCCTCATGCATCAGCATTGGGTTTGGTCTCTTGCTGCAGCTGGTCCCCTGATGATTTTAATTATCATTGTGCTGTTGCTTTGCTTCGAGGGTGGGCACTCACTGATGGTACTCGGGAATGGACCACATGGTCTATCTAAGTTTGCTATAATGACCCAATGGGGTGCAGAACTATCAGTCTTTGGGGCCTCCCTGATAGTGTCACATACCTAAGCCTCAATTTTGCCTTTTTCTGCTGAAGTAGGTGTCAAGACCGTTCTGTGGATAGATTTCTCCTGGCCAGGATGTCTGTGGCCTTGCTTGTTCCTCCCTATGCAAATGGAGCCTTGAGGTCTAGTGACATGGATCAGTCATGAAAGTGCTTGCTTTGAAAGAATGAGGACCAGGGCTTGAGCCCCAGCATCCATATAGAAAATTCAAGTTGATGATGTACCCTCTTGACTTGATGCTGGGGAGTGGCAAATCATTAGGGCTTGCTGCCTAGACAGTCTAGCCGAACTTGCAAGATCCAGGCCAATGGGAAACCCTGCCTTACAAAAAAAGGTGTTGACTCCTGAGGGACAACACCTGTGACTGACCACTGCCCTTCACACACACACAGACACACACACACACACCACGTAGCATTACATTCTCTAAAATCTACCTGCTTCGGTAGTTTTCAGAGTGAGCTTGATTTCCTTATTAGAGTCTCATTCTTTCCCATGCATCCGGCTCATGTAGTTGTACATGTAAGATACAGGAAATCATTCTGAGTGGCAGGGTCCCATGTTCATGATAGGTGGACTGAATCATAGTTTGTTTCATTTCATGCCAGTGCTGAGAATATAATCTGCACGAATATGTATGAATTGGAATAGAGACTCCCAGAGTGAAGAGTTTAGTGTTCTTTCCCTTTTCTTTGTTAAGCAACTAAAAGGTCTCCTGCCTCTATGTTACTCTAGGCTTTTATACCAGTATGACCCTGAATGTGTTGATATTTTACTCTATCTCTGGGTTGACTGCTTTGCTCATGGATAAAACAGAACACACTTTGTGTTTATTGCTGGGCGTCTGCACCTCACACTGCGTGGACCCGATGCATGCAGATGTCCCTACAAATCTCACTATTTAAATCATGTATGCTTGCTAACCTCCCAGAGAGTTCATAAACCGGGCGTGCATGAAGAACTCTAAAGACCACTGAGTGGTTCAGGTGTGGGTCACTTTTTATCTTGGGGTCAGCGCCTCCTTCTCAGTTACCTAATTTATAATTAAAACCAGCATATTAAAGGTTAGCTCCACGTTCCCTCCAGGCACTGGCCAGAGGACAGCAGGTGTGATGTACAGCAGCTACTGCTATACGATGCCAGTTTCATGTCCTGACAGTTGTGTGGCATGATCAGTCCCCACCCCCAGCTTTGAGCAATTTAAAACTAGCAATGAGTAGAACAGGAATGTCGTGTGCATAAGTCTGTAGTATTTTTTTTTCGAGACAGGGTTTCTCTGTATTGTTTTGGAGGCTGTGCTGGAACTCGCTCTGTAGGCCAAGCTGGCCTGGAACTCACAGAGATCCGCCTGCCTCTGCCTCCCGAGTGTTGGGATTAAAAGCATGCGCCACCAACACCCGGCTCTAAGTCTGTAGTATTGACACAGGTGCAGACCTATGTCACCCCCACCTGAGTCATGGTAGGGAGCAGTTTCTTTACCACCCAAGACACTGCTGTGTCCCTGCATCTGTCCTTGTGTTATCACAAGCCAGTGGTCCCCAATCCCCTTCTCTACTCAGCAAGCACGGTCCTTTTGAACTGTCATGTAAATGGAACTATACTCTTGGTTGCTGTTGGGAGTCCAAGTCAGCTGAAAACCGGTACAAGCGTTTTCAAAGAGAGGCGAGCATGTTTGTGGAAAGGCAGAGAGGCATTGGTTAAGATAGCAATCTCATTACTGTCCAGAAATTGACCTGGGGGGGGGATAAACTCCTACATGAGCATCTGGGCTGCTCTGACTATAGCTGTCAACAATTAGGAGAAACACAAATATTCTCCAGCAGATGAGTGAGTCCATATGTGTTACACTGGTTGAGAGGGTTGCTGCTAGCACCCCAAAGAACAGCTAAGGAGCTACTGGTCCACCATTGCAACAGGCTTTCCTGGGGGTGGCTGTGAATGAAGGAGTCAGGGCCCACTTTCAGTCATCCTTCCTGTCAAAGGCAGGCAGGCCTTGGAAGTGAGCGTCAAGATGATGAAGGCTTCATCAGGGCCAGAGGGAAGATCGCCTCAGAAACAGGACTGTTTGATCCTCTCTCACTCGCTCCACTCCCCTGTTTTAATACCAAGGTGGATGCTGGGGGTTCAGCTTTAGATGGGAAGAGAGACCAGCGGAGAAGGAATCATACTGCAGGGAGGTTAAATGCCAAGGAGTGCACCCAGTCATGAGTGAGGCTAGCTTGTGCTCCAGGAACCCATGCATTACACGTTTTGACTACAATGTGCTGAAACTTGGAGGCTGATGAATAAGTATATAAGTAAGCTTATATACATATCTTTCAGGTATAAGAGAAAAACATTTATCAGGACCCGTTTTGTAGCTCAGTGGAGATCCCTTGGCTAGCGTGCAAGAGGCCCTGACTTGTACCTCCATCACAGTAGTAAAAACAGTAAGCTAGTGTTATGAGCAACGACCTGGGGTTGAAGTTATGGTGACACACAGAGAGTCTGGCAGCTTCAATAGCACACCCCTCCTTCAGCTCTCAAGTGCAGTTCAATTAGGATGACTTTAGTCTTAACCTTAATAAAGACGCAGGATCAGTCATCATTGGTTTATTCAAAACTACGACTGTTTAAAGAAAATGTTTCTAAAGTATGTCTTCTCATTCATGGTCAAGTACTCTAGTAAGGCTAACACCAGGTTTAATTTTGGTTTCGAATGATTTTAAAGATATAAATAAGTAAATAAGTACACAAATAAATACTATCTCAAACGCTCTTTGTTTCAAAAACTCTTCCCCTCTCTCTGTCAGTGCTATCAAACTAAATTAAGTTTAGAAATCTCAAAGACATACTCAAAGACAATGTTTTCTTCTTTTTAAAACTATTTTAACTACTTTAAACTTGGAAACATTATATGAAATAATTTTGAATTTTTCAACTAGTTTAAAAAGTTAATTAACATTCAACTAATTAGTACAAAAAGAATTAATTGTGACAAAGTATGATTACAACCCGTTTTCGCATGCATGCCAATCAAATAATTTGGAGGCTTAAAATAAATTCTAAAATGGGACTGACTACAGGAACAGGATTTGACATTTGATTGAGTGAGCAGTGTGAGTAGCTGCCAGTATGCTTGCCTGTTCAATTTTGAGTGAATTCACAGAGTTAGACTGGATTAAAATAAAGTGCAGAGGGCAAATAAAAAAATTCAAACATGCCCCTCAGGGTGTGCCTGCAATAGTTAGTTACTTTGGAAGTATGTGTCTTTGCAACAAGTGTGAATTTTCTACACAATAAATATGTTTTTTTTAACAACTTAAATGCCAGGCAAGAAAGTAACCAGAGAAGGGACTAAATGAGAAAGACCCGAGTGGGCTGCTAAGGGATGGCCTATGTTCAAACCAAGCTACAGCAAATGAAGGGGATCAGTGTCTGGGAGTCTGAGGGTCAAGGTTGTCAGGAAGTCCTCCCTAGCCTTGCTTTCCTCGGCTAGTAGCCTCCTGTTATCAAGGGGAATTCAGGAGACTCAGAGGCAGGAGCTTCCGGCCTTTATCACTGCCATTGTTTCTCCCCATTCAGCTAAGGAAGCAAGTGCCAACTCAGAACAGGGAATAAAGAGTGAGAAAGAACACTAGGAAAAAGCCAATGGTCCTGGCAATAACTGGAGGAAACTGGAGCAACCAGACATGGACCTCACCCAGGAGAAGGGATGCTATTGGGCTGAGACCAATAAGCTGATGAAGGGTTTGCTGTGCAAATGAGATACTCAGATTCTCAGAACCCACAGAAATGACAACCTGCCTATAATTCTAGACCTAGAAAGCGACAGAGACAGGGAATCCCCTGAGTAAGGTAATTAGTGAGATTAGCCAGGAAGAATGAGGGAGAAGGATGGTTCCTGACATCCAACCTTGACCTTCACATGTACTCATACACATGTGCATATAGGCCCCCAAAACATGCAAACATGGATATATGCACATGCACATACCTAATACACACACATATACATGTAAAGAAGAGAAAGAAAATGTTGTTGGAGCAGACTCTTCTGGGCATTTGTTAAATAGGTGGGAAGTACCAGGTGTCTGGGCTATCAAAACACAAGACTCCCAACAGCAATTGTCTCTAGGAAGTTGGGGAGTCAATTTCATATGGAGCAAAGTGACCAGGATTGGGTGTGCTTAGAACTCAGATGTTCATTTTAAAGCATAACAAGGCAGAGACAAGCTAGGACAGTTGCTTCACTGTTTACCTCCAAAAGACCACTGTTAACTCTCACTGACAACAGTAACAAATCCGGGGTAGACAGCAAAGAAGACAAAGATCTCCCAAGGCATGGGAGTGAGGAGCCATCATGTTAAGAGAATCAAGGAACCACAAGACAGACATCTTACATCATATAATATCCATTGAAACTCAAACTTCCCACGGGGGAGATATGGTAACCCATGCATTGTCATATAAAGGCAGGTGCGCATGTCGTGATATCAGAAGCAAAGCGTCTGGATGCCAGCAAAGAATGGCCGTGGACATAGGCCACAAAAACAGACCCTCCATTTACTGCAGGGTGATGTGGGGTACCACTTCTGATGCCTGTGGCCACTGCAGGGACCCTGGATGTTCAGACACTGGCATGTTTACACAAACTTTAGGACATGTCAGCAGTGTCTCATCTTTCTTCTCTCTGCTACTATAGAAGCAATGCCTTTGAGGTTGGATGTCCTCTTCCTGTGGCATGTCCACATAGTCTTGGGACTGGTCACCTAAGGAATAAAAACAGGAAGAAAGTGAAAGTAAGCTAAGCAAGTGGAAAATTGGTAGCTAGAGACCTCAGTCCTCTAGACATCCAGCAGGCTCGAATGGGTGAGAAGAGCTGCAGAGCTGAATATACGGTGATGTTCATGAAGACCCCATGAAGCACAACAGGAAATGTCAGCCATGCAAGGTTTTCCAAAGACAAACAAGACAGGGAAGGGGTGTCGTGACTACCCCTTCATTCTTCAAACTTTCTCCTTCAAGGGCATTTTCTGGTTCTTGCTTCATGGAGCTTGGTCAAACATAAATCCTTTACTCAGTGAACACGAGTAAAGGATGTGTGTAATAGGAAGACAAAGGAAGATCAAAAAGTGCCTTAGAAAGGGACACAGGACCTGAAGGCCCTTCTTAAGGTTCATAGAAAACAGACAAGGCCTTGCCACACCGTTAGTGATCAGCCATAGCTAAATGCAAAACCCTTGAGAGATCGCTACATAATCGGTAGAGGAGCCACACTAAATCTCCACTGGGGAGACCAAGAACTTTTATGTTCAGATACTGCTGATGGGAGAAGGGAAAGGAAATACAATGCTTAGTCTAGAATCTTGAAGACAGAAATTGCAATTTTAGAAGCAGAAATCAGACAATACAAACTCTTGGGAATTTATATTCAATAGCATGAAGAGTTACACTGTGGAAAACCTACACGTACATTGTATCAGCTTTGTGGCTCATTTGCCAAGCAGATGAGCATTTTAGCAAGCCATGGGGTATCCCCACTGTGGAGTCCCACTCAGCAATGGGAAGGGAGGAACTAATGGTGTGCAAGTCACGTGAGTGATCTGGGGAACTAAGCCAAGTGGACAAAGCCAGTTCTAAAACAGACAAAGTGTGTCTCCTTTATGCAATAGCACAGTGAATGAATTTAGAGCTACAGAGAGACTCCTAGTCTTTGATGATGAACTGTGGGGATTCTCAAGGCCACACCTGTGTTTTAGAGAGTTCTATACACACACACACACACACACACACACACACACACACACACACACACACGGAGAAACAGAGACTGACAAAGACAGGGAGACAAGAGACCAACAGACAGAGAGACAGAGCACTTGGGCTTCCCAAGACAAGTAGATCATCCATCCAGGCTGACATAAGACTTTATAGATCTGTACAAACTTAGCATCGGAGGAGACAGGAAAGAATACACATGGGCTCCTTATGTTACTTCTGTCAGCTTTATTAATACAGTATTTTACTAGGAAAAAAGATAAAAATACTAGCGTTAATCACCTTCTTCCTGTATATGTACACAAATGAATTCGAAGCAGAAATTAAAACAAGGCAGCTCATGAGTACTTTTCCCTCAGGTTTGCTAAGTAAAGTATTTTACAAAGTCTTAATTCACTTACAGGAGGCTTAGGAAGGCTGTACATGCTTTGGAAAAGCAAGAAGGAAGAGCAGGGAGCGGAGAGGGGCCCAGGAGGCAGTCTCTCTGGGGAGCTGGCAGGCCGGCTCCCTTTCTTTTTTTTTTTTTTTTTGGTTTTTACGAGACAGGGTTTCTCTGTATTGTTTTGGAGGCTGTCGGTCCAGCCCAGCCTCGAACTCACAGAGATCCTCCTGCCTCTGCCTCCCGAGTGCTGGGATTAAAGGCGTGCGCCACCACCGCCCGGCCGGCCGGCTCCCTTTCTAAGGAATCACAGAGCTAGGCATTTGTGATCCACGTGCTGTTTGGCCGATTACACTTCAACAAAATGCATGCACAGAAAGCAAACAAATCTCTCTTACAATCAAACAAGCAAACACAAGAGAACAATTTCCCAACAAAGACAAATCTCCAGACAAACGTGTGTAGCAAGCATACATCGCTCACCGGAACACGTTCCTTTTCCAACCAGAGTGTAACGTAGCCCGAGTTACTCCCCATGTAATGACTGCCGTTTATCTTCCTTTGAAGAAGCCGGTTTTCGAGGCTGTCTGCGATGAGAATGTTGGGTTGATAGACGGACGCTGTGATTGATGGTGTGAATCATGTGTTCACATTCCCGAAACCACTTTGCTGAAAGCGAAGCTTCCTATTTGATTAGGGACATTTGTTTTGGTTGAATTGATTTCCTTCCTGCACTTTTCCTGTTTCAACATGCTATTCTGTCGGTGTGTGGAGTTCAGTCAATGGATTTGGTGTTTCTTTTCACTGGCTGACAGCGCAGGGGATGTGACTGGTTTGTGAATGCACACTGAATGCTTCCTGGAAGCCGCCTGGTAGTTTGACCTGGATGTTCAGTAAACTCTGCCATGTCTGTTTGAACCGCATACACTGTTCTTTTCAATATCATTATAACGTGTGATTACCTTTGATACATCTTGAAAGAGATTTTGTGAGCAAGGAACATAATTCCAAAATAGATAGAGTAATGAATCTGTGGGGTTTCTCACCTTGGCGAGGTTTGCCTTTGATGGTGTCACACAATAAACTAGTGAACCACAGGGATTACCTCCCTGTCACATAGCATAGCTGGTTCTTTGATTTTTCAGGTTTGTATGGATTTATCCCTGTTAACATTGCAGCCAGGGAGCATGCCAGTGCCAGTAAATGGGATGGTCTTTTTTTAAGTTTGTTTATTTTACATGTATGACTGATTGTGCAGTGCCAGGGGAAGGCAGAAGAGACTATCTGGTCCTCTAGAGTTGGAGTTTCAAATGTTTATGAGCCACCTTGTGGGTACTTGGAACTGAACCTGGGTCCTCTATAAGATCAGTAACCACTGAACAATATCTCCAGTCCCCTCTAGCTGACTTTTTAAAATGAAAAAAAAAAAAAGCTATGCGTTACAGTTACCATTGCATAGTTATAGTTGCATAGTTACCAAAAATGCCAGTGATAATAATATATTATAATATAAATAATATATAATTTATATAAATGACAAGTTGTTACTGTGTGTGTGTGTGTGTGTGTGTGTCTGTGTGGATTGTTCAAGTAGCTAGACCACACTCTGAGAAAAAGTCATTGTATTTGTTGCAGTGGTGAAAGTCTGATCCTTTCTGTTCCATGCAGGCTCACAGGCTCCAGTGTCCCCGACCTCATCGTGAGCATGAGCAATCAGATGTGGCTCCATCTGCAGTCTGACGACAGCATCGGCTCCCCAGGGTTTAAAGCTGTGTACCAAGGTAGGCCCGGATCACCTTAGTGTTTAAATGGAAGGCTTCCAAGAGCAAAGAGACCATTCTGTACACAACAGAGATAAATGAAAAAAGCATGTTGGAGCACTGTTCATCAATGAGACTAATGCTCTGTAACTGGTTTAGAGTCCTACCTAAATGGCGTTTCTCTGACACAAGAATACTCAAGGTTTGTCATTAACATGACAAGATACGAAACAACAGGAAATGCAAACTTTCACTATGAGACATGGGAAGGCCTGTGGATCCCTTGGCAATATCCTATTGATCATTATTTCTGAAACTTTTGTATATCTGATATTTCAAATTTCAAGTTAAAATGAACGATACATTTGTCTTGCCATGAATTATATTTTTGAGGGTGCTTGTGAGCCAACCTATGTATTTGAGATGAAATGTCAGTGATTTTCATTGTTGAGGAATGGTGCTAGAACTCTGGTAGTCATAGAGAGCTGATAGTGTTTCTGGTGGCTCCTGAATTGTAACTGCATGTGTCTTTCTCCTGCCAGAGGCGCCTGACCCCAGGGCTTCTGACCACTTGACTCTGAACCTGCTAGATCTCATTGCCTTGCTCCCATTTGAGATTCCCTACTTATTGTCTGTTTAAGATATATGACACCACAGAAGGGTGTGCACTTGAAATGTGCTCTCATTTTCAGTTGTATGCCACAAGAGTAGTCTCCAGTTTTAAAAGTGTATCAAGAAGTTGTGCAGATGAGGTCAGAGCAACAGATAATGCAGAAGGACCCTCCCACCCCAGACAGGAAGTGCATAGGGTACACATTGCAATTCGTTCCATGTAAGTGGAGGCAGCCAGAAGGTGAACATGTCCTGTGGCACCAGTGGCCTGACATGGCATCCTTAGCTAGAAGGTATAAAATATATGATCCTTGCAAGATGTATGGAATAGGGTGGGGAACTTAATGGCACTTACCATTAAGAAAAAAAATTGGCCCTACAATAAAAGAAGAGGTATCCCTATCCTATCCATAGGCTAGTCCTGGGATGCAGAGGTAAGTGTGGACTTCTTATCGACCTTTAAGTTTCTAGGTAGGAGCTTTCATTAGCGCTTATTTTCTCAAGAATGCACAGATGACATATACTATTTTCATTATGACATGCAGTTATTATGACGTGCAGTTATTACAACCATGGTGGAATCTAAAAGCATCAGGGAAACAGCAAATACCTCCCACCAGGAGGGACGGCAGAAGACTTGCTCCTTCATTTTGAAGACAGCATCACAAGGTTGAGCTTAAAAAGCAGAGGTCAACCTCAAAATAGAGGGTACATCTCTGACTATTAGAATCCTAGTATTCTCAGATTAGACATGAGCAACCCCACTGTGTTCAGCAGATGACCAGGCAATATTAGCTGTAACTACCTTCAATCTTACTCTCTGTTAACAATGTCAAGAGTTTGTTGATAGCTACAACTTGAGAGGTCATGAGAACAAGCGTGATTGTGTTCAAGGAATTGATCCTTCAGTGCAATGTGTCAATCATGTGATAAATCAATGATCTAAAGGTTTAAGAAACAGCATAGCTTAGAGAACTTTAAACAGAGAGAATATAAGAAAAGGAGGGTTTTCAGAGAAAGCTGCATTTCTTTTTAAAAAGTTTATTTATTTGGTGTGTGTGTGTGTGTGTGTGTGTGTGTGTGTGTGCGCACTTGACTGAACTCATGTACTTCAGGACATGTGTGGAGGTCACAGGATATCTTGTAGGTGTTGCCCTCATTCTATCATGCAGGCCATAGGAATGGAACTTGGGTCATCAGGTTTGGTAGCAGCCACCTCCACCCACTGAGCTGTGTCACAGGCCTGAGAGACAGTGTTCTGGGATGCGATGCTAAGCTGATAATTGAAGATAGTATACAAGTCACTCACTGTGTCGCTCTGCTGCCCATGAGTGATTGGAAATCACACACCGCTTACATTCTAGTAGGATTCAATTTTCCAGATGTTGATTCTGCGTGACTTTAGCTGACTCAGAGCTAAGGACATAGACTCTAAGCTGTGCCATGCTGGGCACTAGTTCTATCCCATAGCAGTGTGACTTAGGGAAAGTCATTTCTGATCTGTATCACACTCCCCATTTTTAATAACAAGGTGGAGGGGTCATAGTAACAACATCTGCTTGATGGGTTTATTATAAAAACTCAAGTGACTTTAAGAACCCAACAAAACAAACAGCAGACATTTACATTTTTTTAATTGGGAGAATATTTCTTGCCCCTTCTTTTCTTCATTGTTTTACGAACCATGTAACCCCATAAGAAGAAATTGGGAGAGTGTCCCCCATACATCTTCACCTTCCTGAATGGCCCGGGAATGTTCTGAGAGGTACAGGGCATCTGTATTTCTTTGTGGGTCTTCCCAGAATCTTCTTGGAGCTTCACACCTGACATAACAGATAAAGGACACTCTGCAAGGAATGAGATATCCCAGCCTCCCACCTTTAAATGGGCTTGAATGAGCCACAGAGACACCCCAGCACAGTTGCAGTGACTTCACACAGCGTCATCATTGAGAGTTCCCCACAATTCCCTTGCTGACCTCTCTGGTGTATGTCACTGAGCATATCCTGAGATTTATGAGGGTCTTGTATTATTTTTTCCCCTGGGACAACATGAACAAGTATCTTCTCACCCCAGATAGGTTATGAATGCCAGGTCAAGGAAACGATTCCATGCATGTCTAGCTTAGGGAACCAGTGAATGTACTGGGTTTACCTGTGTGAGCACAGTTGAGGAGTTTCTTACAGAAGCAGAGGTGACTCCAAGGTTGTTGCACATCTGAAATCCCACCCCAGCATGTGTGATGACTCATGAAAGCAAAATCCCTGGGACTTCCTGAGCAATGTGCAGACAGATCCACAGAATAGTTCCCTCTTTCAGCAGCTGTTACTGTTGATACAACTTTGGGTAGGGACAACAGTCTACGTTTCTGAAGCTTCCTAGAAGGAGGATATGGGGTCTAACCCTCTTCTGGGGATCCTCAGGATCACAGGTTTGGAATATGACTTTTCATGCTCACTCCTTCCTGTCCCTTTAACGACCTCCCCTCTATTTTATCCCCCCAGCATCCCCAGAGTGTGTTTCAGTAACTGTGTCTTAGGGAAAGATTGTCTCTCAGAAAGTGGACTGAGGAGCTTGGGAGGGTCTGACATGATCCTGGAATTGTGGGGCTTCAGAGGAAACCAGGCAAGGTTTGAGAGCAGAAACACACAGTAGTCTACAGCTGAAGGCACTCAGACTCAGGGACAACACAAGCAGAGGCTCTTCCTATAAATAAGTTTTCTACTTAGACTTGTCAGCTTGTCAGAGGATAGGCATGGACAGGCATCTTCCATGGATTCATCCATTTGTCTGTCTGTCTGTTAGCTATCACCTGTCTGTACGTCTATCAGTCTGTCAATCTGCATCCAGCCATCTGCATATTATCTACTATCCTCTATATATACCATACCTAATCTATCATTTACCTTGATATTTATCTATGTAGAGAATGTGTATGATGATATGATGGTTCACCTTAAGAAAGTAACAGGCTCTAAGGAAATTTTCAAAAAGTGAGGTGCAATCCTTAGGTTAAATTCATTACGTCAAAATCATTTAAAATTTCATAATACCAGAAATTTTGTTAAATTGCTACAGTGGGTGGTACACATTTAAACAAAAATATGGGTTGTATTACAGCAGATATTGCTCGCCAGTATAACAGAGGAAAGACAAGGACCTACTTACTCAAGCCCCTGGAGGACCACTGTGGTGATAGCCTCAGTGGCTGTATGTCACAATCGTGAGCTTACAGGCTAAGCACCCCCCTGTTTTGGCTTACTGCTCTAAGTATAATACTGTGAGTCACCTCTAGACCATTTCAGTTACAGTTCACCACACAGGGGATTAGCTAGCTGGATTTTCACTAATCATGTTGTATGTCATTCTCCATGGCTATTTGTGTTTTAGTATGGAGTAAATTATAGGAAGCATTCACT